GAGGACTATCAGGTCTGCCCAAGAGAGGCAGAAGGTCTATGCCGACCGGAAGAGGCAAGAGCATGTTTATGTAGTGGGAGATCATGTCTTCTTGAAGGTTTCACCCATGGGAGGTGTGATTGGCTTCGGGAAGAAGGGGAAGCTTAGACCTCGCTATATCAGGCCGTTTGAGATCCTCGATCGAGTCGGGGACTTGGCGTATCGGCTGGCTTTACCACCAGACTTGTCGGGTGTGCACGACGTGTTCCATGTCTCGATGCTTCAGAGGTATGTGCATAATCCTGATCATGTGGTGAACTTCGACGAGCTGCAGGTCGAGCGAGACCTTACCTACGAGGAAGTACCGGCAGCCATCTTGGACCGGAAGGTCCATCAGCTGAGGAACCGGGCAGTGAGCTTAGTGAAAGTGCAGTGGAGCCGACATGATGAGTCTGAGGCAACTTGGGAGAAGGAGGCCGAGATTAGGAGGCATTATCCGAACTTTGAGTTTTGAGTTCCCCTTTGTATTTTTATTGCTTTCTAGTTTATTTTCGAATTCCGAGGTCGGAATTCTTTGTAAGGTGGGTAGACTGTAGCGCCCCGTTTGAATCAGAATTATTTGAGATTATTTATTGGTTTATTATTGCCATTATTATTGCTTATTTATATTATTATATTATTATTAGCAAATATTTATTTGTGATTAAATGTCTAATTGTTTTAAATGCCAATTATTATTATTATTATTATAATAATAATAATTATTATTATTATTATTATTATTATTATTATTATTATTATTATTATTATTATTATTATTATTATTGTGTGTATTATATAATATATATATATATATACATATGTATATAATGCCCGGTTTTATTTTCTTCTTATTCGCGTTTGTTTCTGGCCCAACTGAGATTAAGTCTAGCCCCATTTGTGATTTATCAATTTTGGGCCTTTTCTATATGTTTATGGCCCATTAGGAAATAATACTTCTTGGCCCAAGAAGAGTAACCACGCGATTCGTTCATCTTCCCCAGACTGAGTCTATCTTATCTTCACGTTAAAAAAAAAAACAGGTGCGATACGCCCGTGAGCATCTCGCACGTTCTTCTCCAATCTTGCTCTTAGCTCCTTTTAATTTTGACTGAGGAGGAATAGCTCAGATATTTCATCTCCTCAACTCTCATCTCTTTACTCTGTTCGCATACTGCTAAAAAAAATAAAAAGAAAAAAAAAGTACCGCTCCTGCAAAATTTTTCCGCCGCAAAGCTTCACGCCATTTTCCAGCGAGTTGTAGTCATATCGCCGACGTCCCATCGAAGCAGCAGCCATCAGCCTTCGAAAGCAACCGACGTACGCCGCTGTCCAATCCAGCGGCAGCAACTCCGTCTGCGAGACACCAGCACGCCATCGCCATTCTTTCCGGCGAAACCTTAACTTCTGGCCATCTTCGACGTTTGTCTTAAGGAACCTGACCGTTCGCAAGCAGGTTGTGTCCAGCCCTTGTGTCCAATAGCTTTCGAGTTCCGAGTCCCGTCGAGGCTCTATTCGCCCCGTCTTGTTCTGACCTGTTTTCCGATTTCTCGTAAATTCCCGAAGACGGGTAAATTATTTCGAAACCTTCTCGTTATTTTATTCGTGCTCATATATCACTCGATTATTGTCCTGCTCATTTAATTGAAATTCGATGATTGGTCTATTGAGTTATTAATCAGTTCATATGTAGCTATTCGTGAATTTTCGTAGACTTTCGAAACTCTCGTTTGTTCTATAATTCGAGTCTTGTTGCAGTTGTGATGAATTCGTTCGAATTCGGAGTATCGATTTTACGTCTGAGTCGTTGTTTGTATATATGTGTTCGGTTGGAGCCGGTTATGCCGTTTCCGTTTTCGATCCTTATAAACCCATTTTATGAAATTTCAAAATTCTGAAATAGTATAAATTCGTATATTGATGTTTAACATGGGATCCCGGTCACGAGTGAAAGATATTTTTATTTGGCATTAGTTCGTCAGTTCGAACAAGCACCTGGAACCACAGAGATAAAGGGGAGATCTTTATTTATTTTATTTCCTTAATTGAGCTTATTTCATATTTCGTATATAAGATATTATGAATCTTATTATGGTATTTTAATTTGTAGGAAATTGGATTTGAAAGAATTAAAGGAAGGAGAGGCGTGATTGCTAAGGAGATCAAGGAGAGAGAATAAAAGATTTACTTGCCAAAGATATGCTATTATTATGGAAGGAAATCAAGCTTGAAGTTCTATGCCTTGTAGAAGACTCCAACCCTAAGGAGTTTATATAAATACCCTAGGAGAAGCTCTTATTGCGGCTGCTGAAATCAGAGAGATTTTTAGTGCATTACACGAGCTTCACATTTTTTGTTCTATTTAGTTGTACGCAGTTCAGTACGAGAGTTCTTACAAACTCAAGGACTGAAAACTGTTTTGTTTTTAGTTTCTTTGCTTTCATCAAACTATCTTTTACTTTTACACTTAGGGAGTAAGTGTAGGATAAAAAGTCCACGGGACGTGGCCGGAGAAATAGTTGATATGATCGTGAGTAGTGTTGGCTAGGCTTGAAGGGAGTTCGGGTCTTTGTAAGTCCAAACTATGTTCGTGTTTGATCTATTAATGAAAGAGCTCTGAGGGGAAGTGGGATGCTTCCTTGAAGAGTTTTCAAATCTTCGGTTTATTGCTTTCGCATTTTTCAGTTCTTAATTTAGTTCATACGTCAAATAGCGCACTCCGTGATAATTAAACATTTCAATTGGCACCAGAGCAGTGTTCCTGTTCTAACTACGGGATAAAGATCTTTGGGACTATGTTTCGGGCACCATGCGTCATGATGGGATGTCTGTTACGCGCCCTCCGTTTCTTGATGGTTCCAACTACTCGTACTGGAAGTCCATGATGGTGATCTTCCTTCGATCTCTTGGTAAAGGCACATGGCAGGCTATTGAGAATGGTTGGACTTTACCCCTCCAAGAAAAAGTTCCTGTTGAAACTAAGGGTGGTGAGACCAAATTACTGGTTGAAAAACTAAGGAGTATCTGGACAGACGATGAAAAGCAAGCAGAAGAGGCTAATTTTTTAGCCTTATATGCTATTATGTCTGCTGTAGATCCCACCCGGCACAAGATAATAATTCAGTGCACTACCGCTCAAGAAGCTTGGAGGATTTTGGAAAGACAATTTGAAGGCACAAACGCGGTTAAACGTCAAAACTCCAAAGAGTCTCAACTGAGCTCGACGAGATCCGTATGAGGGAAGATGAAACCATTGATATGTACTATGCTCGGTTCTGCGATCTGGTTAACCAAAGTGCAATGCTTGGTGAGCCGGTTCCAGAAGCTAGACAAGTACAGAAACTGATGAGAACTCTACCGGACAGGTTTGGGATTAAAATTACTACACTAGAAAGTTTTCAGAGGATTCAGAAACTTGGCATTTGTGATCTTCTCAGCAAACTTCGGACCTTTGAAATCAACCATAGCTTTGAGTCTATGAGGATAAGCAAAGGGAAAGGGCTAGCTTTAAAGGCTAAGGTTCGTACTACAGTTGCTAAGGATGACGAATCCCATGAAGAATCTTTTGATCCTGATGAAATAACAAAGGCTCTCACCGTGCTTACTAAGGGTGTGTTTGGTAACCCTAGCTGATAAGCTAGCTGATAGCTTATAAGCTAGCTGGTAGCTGATAAGCTATAAGTTAGCTTATAGTTTATAGCTTATGATTTATAGCTGAAAAGGTAGCTTATATGATAAATGTGTTTGGTAAAACTAGTTTATAAGCTAGCTGAAATAAAAAAGTCAACTAGCTTATTTTGAAACGCTACCTAAACAAGCTTATCAAATAAGCTCGAGCTTTTTAAATAAGCTCGTCCTACCAAACGGGGCTTATTTGATACAGAAAGCTTATAAGCTAACCAAATAAGCTATAAGCTAGCTTATTATACGTGTCAAACACACCCTAAGAATGTCTCAAAGCTGAAGAAATTTCAGAAAAAGAGATTCCAGAGCAACAGGTCCTTTGAAGGTGGTAGGAACCAAAATTCAGCAATTCAGAAAAATGCGGTCTGGGATGCAACTGAACAAGTTTTGGAATTCCAACCAAGGGGTAGAAAAAGACCAGTGCCGTGAATGCAAAGGATTCGGCCACTTTCAAAAGGAGTGTCCTAACCTCAAGAAGAAGAATAACACATTCAAGGCTACATGGTCTGACTCCAGTGACGACGAGGAGGAAGAATCTGAGAAGACTGAGAATTCTAATTATTTAAATAATTTTGCGAAATGGCTCTTAAATGAATATAACTGTTTTACTTCCCCAGTTCATTTGACTGATGTTGAGTCTGATGCAGGTTCTTACGCAAAAGATTTGAGCGATGTGGATTCTGATGAATTCTCGGATCCAGCTGCTGAAAATCTTGTACTTCACAAGTATGCTATAGAAAAATGTATCAAGGCAGCCGAGATCATCAAGAAATACCAGACTCAAAAATTGAAGATGAAAGCTATGGAACGTAAATCTGCTGAACGGGAAAAGGAGATTGTCTATCTTAGGGACGAACTTCAGAAGATGAGGATATTGACCGTGGATCTGAGCGAGAAAATTATCAAATCAGACCTTCATATCGGAAAACAAGACAAGGACCTAAACAGTTGTTTCGCAAAGCTTGCACTGGTTGAGCATGGGGATAAACTCAACAAACAGGCAAGCGAAGAGCAAAATTTTACCATTGAATCCCTACGTAACGAACTGTTTTCTGTCCAAAATCTTGTAGGTGAAAGAGAAACTGAAATAGTTGTCCTCAAGGAGGAACTCGGTCGAGTAATGGAGGAACATCTGACACTTCGGAGTCATCAAAAGCTTGGGCAGACCTCGAACAGCCCCTGTAGAAGAGGAGGTATATTTGAACGTAACACTAGAGGAGTTAAACCTGATTTTTGTAAGATGGCTGGTTTGTGTCACCTTGCATGTTATGTGTCTAAGTTGGAACCGAAAAATGCTAAAGAGGCCCTGTGTGATGATTTTTAGGTTCAGGCTATGCAAGAAGAACTTGAACAGTTTGTGTTAGAGGTATGCTGTAAAAGCTGTGTTTTGCAGTATCTATCAATTCCATTTTGATCTGGCAATCATGTTTCGGTCAAAGTACATATGTTTGTAGTTTATTTATTTATGCAATACATACTCCATGTCTTATATTGAGATAGTGTGGTTCAAAGAGTTTCGAACGGAAAGATCACCTATCGGTTCCTTATAAGACTAAACTATTCGTTCACAGTCTAGACTGGCAGTGAGACCCCACTTGGAAAAAGACTGTGGTGTATTCCCGATTCTGTTGGTCTTTGACTGAAGGTTTACACTAGCACTTATGTTAAGTGTTGAACAGGACCGCGGAAGGCAAAGGTTATGAGACTCACTGACCATTGTTGTAACCTCGCCCTTCAGTGATTGATGCGTTCTCTTAAGCTGTAATATAATATAAAATAGGCATATATTTTTATCTCTTATTTATTTGATTTACCAAGTGATTCCTATTCCGTTAGGATGACATACGAGGTATTTTGGTAAGTAAGAATAAGGCAAAATTGCGGCTAATATCATGACCTTTATCGAGATTGCAAATTAATCACAACCTTTTAACTTTTGCATAATATATCACGACTTTCAATTCTTTGCAAAACGATACATGCGCTGCCCCAACTTGTCTGACGTGGCACTCAAAATGCCAACGCACCTGCTGATGTGTATTTAACAGACGATTTTTTTTTGCATAATTGATCACAACCTTTTAACTTTTGCATAATATATCACGCCCTTAAATATTTTTGCAAAACGATACATGGTTTAAGAGATGTATTTTTTTTTCATCTCATCCCTGGACGAGATGAGGGGGAAATGTTGGAACCCTTGGGGATATTTTAGGCTAGAGCTGGAGAGAAAACAGATTATTGAGACTTTTATCTTTTTTTTTTTCATCTCAAAACTCATTCTCTCAACAACTTTCACTTGGTTTTATTTGGATTTTGCTTGGATTAATAATAATTTCCTTTCATTTGATTATGGAAGTGATTTATTATGTTGAATCTTTTGTTAGGATTGATATCAATATGTGTGGCTAAATCGCTTCGTTAGGGATAGAAGATATTTGTTTTGGTTCGATTGAGATTCGTGTGTACGTGTTTGTCGTTCAATCTATTCGAGTTGTGTTGAATCTAGGGCTAGATGTTTGATCATCATTTTAATCTAGTTAATCAATTTATAGAACCAGAAGGGGAGAAATTGATTGATCTCGGCTCGTTTAGAATAGGCTTGTTCGTTAATAGATTGTCTATATGTTAATTGTTTGATAATTGAACGTTACGAAGAGTTATTGAGAACAAGCCTCTAAACTTGTATGTTATTTGATCTCTTAACTGAGCGGTTGCGTGCTAATTGATTGCTTGAGAACCATAAACGAATATCTCCGACTCCCTAACTCACCAATCATTATTTGAACTCCATTTGGAATTTGAAGTGTGTCTTGCTTTATTTTTGGAATTTGTAGTTGATAATCAAAACAAAAAACAATTGAATTAGAGTGTTTCAAATTTGTTTTCTCTTTTCGTGTGATTGAATACACGTGCAAAGTAATTCGACTAACCTTCCTTGAGAGACGACCCGGTGTTTGAATCTTTTCGTGTTCCAAAATCTCCAGCTCTAGCCTAATATATCCATAAGGGTTCCAAAATTTCCCCCTCATCTCGACCAGGGATGAGATGGAAAAAAAATCATCTGTTAAATACACGTCATACTAGTTGGGGCAACAGATGGAAACGTGTATCGTTTTGCAAAAATATTTAAGGGCGTGATATATTATGAAAAGTTAAAAGGTTGTGATTAATTATGCAAAAAAAATCGTCTGTTAAATACACATCAGCAGGTGCGTTGGCATTTTGAGTGCCACGTCAGACAAGTTGGGGCAGCGCATGCATCGTTTTGCAAAGAATTGAAAGTCGTGATATATTATGCAAAAGTTAAAAGGTTGTGATTAATTTGCAATCTCGATAAACGTCATGATATTAGCCGCAATTTTGCCTTAGAATAATTATATGATGTGCTATTATAGATTATTTACAGTCACTATGTTCCAGTGCGCTGGATTGATGACGTCCCCGAAATGAGCTCGGAAAGGAACATTATGTTAAACCCTGCAGGTAGACGATTGTCTGACATAATGGTTAAAGGCTGAGTGGTACTAATTTCGGAAATGAATAAGAAGTTGATTAATTATTTTTGTTAGTAATTTAATTAATCACCGGACGTTATATCTCGATCAATCAGATTAATATTATTTAATCATGGAGACTCGATTTTATTGGTAAAATAGTGGCTAAATGGGGAGAGCAATAATATTACTCTAGTAGGATGTTTTATTATTTAATTCCATTAAATAGGAATTAATTTTATTCCATATTAATTAATTAATTAGGAGAATAAAATTCCTACTAGAATCTTCTCTTGGGATTAGGAGACTTGGAGTCTTCTAGAAGATGGGGATTAGTGGGAAATATATTTCCTACATTATATTAATTGATTGGATTAAAATTAGGTTTCCTAAATTAGGATTTAATTCTATTCCATGAATATTAATTTAATTAGGAAAAGGAAATTCCTACAAGGATCTTCTCTAGTGTTAGGAGACTTAGGAGTCTTCTAGAAGAGAGAGATTAGTAGGAGATCTCCTTCCTAGATTGAGTTATTATTGGATTAGAATTAGGAATCCTAGGCCTAATGGAATAAGCCCATATTTAGCACCTCCTTAAGGTCCCTAATCGAGCCTATACATACACCATGTCCCAACCTCTCTTATGTTGTTGTCTTGGCCGATTTTCCCTACTACATACACGAGGGAATTACTTCATTCGAGAGTTCGGGAGATCCGATTAAACGCTCCACCAAGTTTAATCGGAATAGGTGTTTAGGTAATCCGTTAGAAGGCTTTTGGGTACAATTTATTCGAGCCTTTATACATATATATTTCCGGTCAATCTCCCAGCTTACCGCCGCCCATTCGCCGCCGTGAGTGT